AGCAAGGGGTTTCGTGTTTGTGTAGGAAACAGAACACCTGCTAAAGTGGATACAGCTTTAGAACTTGCAAAAGAACAGGGATTAGAGGAGAAGATCTTCGGGGCGAAGGACATGAAAGTCTTCGTACGTCTCAAACACCAACACTGGAGTATATATAAAGTCTGCTTTGTGTGTAGTCGCTTGCGATGCAACTCTTCTAAGGGAGAAAATACAAAAATTAAGGTGGAAAAAGGGAAACACCAATTTTAAATTGGCGTGTAGGGGGGAATGAGGTGCTAAAATATGAAGATCGTTCATGGAATATTCCGCTTTCTGCAAGAAGATGAACATATTAGCTGCATGTACACCTGAATGTTCACTGCATGATTCTGCGATTAAATGGGGGGAAAACAGAATATTTTATGGAGTTTACGAGCTATGCATGCACCATATGTGGTGCATAGTTCGGTTTATATTTTCAATTTATTATCGAAATTCTCTCCTTTATTGCTGTCGATCGACTACACGAAAAATATCAGCTGCATTTCTGTTTCATCCTCTTCTCCACCCGAGACTCTTTAACAGCTGCATCTGCGCTCCTTGTGCACTTCCTCTGCATTTTTACTGTTTTTTCTCTCTGCAGGTGGAGAGCATCGAGCGGCCCCGAAGGATTATCATGCTTGTTCAGGTGAGGTTTCTGTTTGTTTGTTTGATTGGGGTTGCAGCTGCTGGATGAGGCGATAGTGTTTAAAGTGCAGACTGCGCCTGTCTTTGATGTAGCAGCTGTATTCAGAGATGTTGGCTCCCTCCAGGATTTAACAAGGGGCTGAAGACGCCTTAGCTTTAGAAAGAAAGAGATGACGCGTTTCTTGCAGTAGATTCTAGTTGTTGCTAAGCAGAAGTGCTTCATGTTGTTGTTTTGATGCATTTAGAACAGACATATTCATAGTGTGTTTGTTGATGTACGTACACTCCGCTCAACACACACAACTCGTCGCATGCATGCATGCATGCAGATGTTTCTGCTGCATGCATGCATTTCTTTCTAGATGCCGTGCATTCCTACAAACAGATGCCAGTGACACTCCACCGCACAGGATATCTTGATGTATCTCCTTCTACCTCTCCTCGACGTTGCTGTAGCTATTGCTTTTTCTGCTGCTGCTGCTGCTGCTGCTGCTGCTGGTACTGGTGTATCAGCTGATATGCATTTGTATAGCAGGCGTATGTTTCAAGCGGACAGAAATACAGTTACGATGAAGGGCATTAAGATGATAAAAGATTAAATGAAGATATTTATGTTGTTTTATCTTTGCTTTTGCTGCAGGCTGGAGCCCCAGTAGATGCATTAATTTCTGCGCTTTTACCTCTTCTCTCTCGTGGAGATATTCTCGTAGACGGCGGCAACGAGTTTTACAAAAATACAGAGCACAGACTTCATAGATGCAATGAGCATGGTGTATAGTAAGTTCATTATATATCTTTTCATCAGCAGACACTCAAATACACAGTACTTACTTTAATACTGACGCTCCACCTCGCAGATTCGCTGCTGCTCCTCCTGCTGCTGCAGCTCGTGCTGCTGCTGTTCTAGTCGCCGCTCTTTTATGATAAATGCAGCAGCGTCTGCTGCTGCTGCTGTGCCTCAACCTGTTTGAAGTAAAACTGAAATTCCGCCTAGCTAGCTAGCTGGCTAGCTAGCTAGCTATGCTTAGTTTCGTTTATATGCGCATAGATGCATGCGCAGCTCCCCTCGTGCTGCATGCAGTAGATGCATGCAGTAGGTGTATGCAGGTGTATGTACAGTAGAGTCTTGAACAGCGGCATTTGTTGGGGTTTGTGTTTGAGGGTTTAGGGTTTAGGGTTTAAGGACAGGGGTTTATTCCTTAGAGTGAATAATGAATGTTAAATATATATAATATATATATTATTTGTTTTTGTCTGCATTATTTGTTTGTATTTTTTATTATTTTCTTTTTTTTAAATTCTTTTTCTGCTGTATTTATCTGGTGGGTATGGGTGTTAGGTGGTTAGGAGAATAAGTTTCATTGAATGAATAAAATATATTAAATATATTAAATATATTATAAATATATTATAAATATAATATAATGTTTGCTGCAGCTATCTAGGTATGGGTGTAAGCGGCGGTGAAGAAGGAGCTCGTCATGGTCCTTCATTAATGCCGGGAGGAAATGAAGAGGCGTGGGAGAGTTTGAAGCCTATTTTATTATCAATTGCAGCTCAAATAGACAAGACTAAAGCCCCGAAGAAGCATCAGATAACAGATTTTACTACAGAACAAACATTAAATGCATGCGTTGCATACTTAGGCCCAGGGGGATGCGGCAATTTTGTAAAGATGGTGCATAACGGTATTGAATATGGTGATATGGAGATCATTGCCGAAGTAAGTTTGTCTTGTATTCATCTTTATTCTTCTATTTCTTTATTACTCTCAGGTGTATGCTTGCATGCACTGCCCTATTACTATTATTTTATTATTATTGGGATGTAAGATATTTACTCTTATTTAGTCTGTCATGGAAACACAAGCGGGTAGAAAGAAAGCTTATTAACGAATTAATTTATTAATGAATTAATATATTTTAGTATGCATGAGCGAAGATGAAAATATATTAATATAAATATATACATATATATAATATATATAACCCTAAACCCTAAACAACCAGGAAAGGTGTTTGCATTTGTTTTTTGTCTCTGTTTAGATATGCATTTGATTTATAATTAAATCTGCAGGAGTCTTCATTGTTTTATTTTTTAAATAAGCAAACATTTCTGTTGTTGTTGAGGTGTATAGACACCTGGCTTCTATCTATATCTTGTTTATTTTTCATTGTCTTTCTCTATGCATGCTATTTGTTTCAATCGGATACACTGGTAGAAAATCCTACCACCAACGCTATCACTGCTGTTGCTGCTGCTGCTGCTGCTGCTGCTGCTGCAGGTGTACAGTCTGCTGCGGCATTGCTACAACATGTCAAATGAAGCGATGGCTGATCTGTTTACTGAGTGGAACAAGACCGAGTTAAATTCTTATCTCATTGAAATCACGTCGCACATCTTCAGAAAAAAAGAAGGAAATGGTAACCACTACACCTCCTGCTGCACTTGCTGCTGCTGCTGCTGCACTTGCTGCTGCTGCTGCTGCTGCAGTTGTTGCTGCTACTGCTGCGGTTGCTGCTGCTGCAGTTGTTGCTGCTGCAGTTGCAGTTGCTGCTGCTGCAGTTGTTGCTACTGCTGCTGCTGCAGTTCTTGTTGCTGCTGCAGTTGTTGCTGCTACTACTGCAGTCGCTGGTGTAGTCGGTGCTGCTGCAGTTCTCTGATGTATTTGATTTTGCTGCAGTTGCTGCTGCTATAGTAGCTGCTGCTGGTGTTGCTGTTGCTGCTGCATTTGTTGCTGCTGCAGCATCTGGTGCATGTGCAGCTGCTGGTGTAATTGCTGGTTGGCGTACATGCATGCATAGGAGGTCATTGAAATTGTATTTATATATTGTTTATTGTTTATTCTCTTTATATAGGATATCTTCTTGATGAAATTATAGATGCAGCAGGAAGCAAGGGCACAGGTGCTTGGACAGTGCAGCAAGCAGCAGAATGGGGGGTACCCGTACCTTGTCTTGCTGCAGCACTTGATATGCGGTAAGTTATATTAATTATTTATTTTGTTTGTTTGCTTCTATATTTACTTCTTTGTTTACTTCTTCGTCTTCTTGCTTGTTTATTGTCGTTGTTTTTTTCTTTCTATTGATGTGCGAGGAACTACATTATTTGTTTACGAGCAGAAGCAGCAGCAGAAGCAGCAGCACCAGTACAGCAGCAGCAGCAGCAGCATCACCAGTACAGCAGCAGCACCAGTACAGCAGCAGCAGCAGCAGCAGCAGTGGCAGTAGCAGCAAGAGCAGGAGCAGCAGCAGCAGTAGAACAATATATATAATAATTTGAGGCGTATGTACACCTCAGGTATATCAGCGCCCACCGAGGTCTGCGTGAACGTCTGAGCAATTTGTACAGCGCTGCTATGCAGAAGACTGCAGCAAATAAAGCAGACGACAAACCAACGCTGGGTTAGAGACAAATATCTCTCTCTTTTCTTTCTTTGTTTCTTTCTTTTGTCTGTTTGTTTGTCTGTCTGTTTGTTTGTTTTGTTTGCTTTGTTTGTTTTTGTTTGTTCGTTTTGCTTGATTTGTTTGTTTTTTTGCCTCTGTCTCTCTGATTTCTTTTTTTATTTCTTTGTTTTTCTTTTTCTTAATGCTGCGGTGTACATGCACCCTGTTGGTTGGTTGTGCTGCTGCAGCGGCTGCTCTTATTGCTGCTGTATTTGCTGCTCTATCTGCTGCTTTACTTGCTGCTTTATTTGCTGCTGTTCTTGTATTTGCATGTACTATTTGCCCTATTATATATGCTGCTGCACATCTGCCGCTTCTGTTGCTGCTCCTTCTGCTGCTCCTGCTGCTGCTGCTGCTGCTGCTGCTGCTAGTAACTAAGTGTGGTTTTGTGTGGGGTTTGTTGGGGTGTATGTACAGAGGACCTTCGACGCGCGATGTATGCAGCAAAAATTTGTTGTTACGCCCAGGGCATGCAATTGATTGAAAAGGCTTCAAAAGAAAAGGCTTGGGGCTTGAATTTAGCTGAAGTGTCTCGTATATGGAAGGGTATATATTTGCTTTATTTTCTTTATTTTTTTATTTTTTTAAGTTTGTTTTTATCTTTAATGTAGATTTGTGCTGCTGGCTGTCTTTTGATGTCTTTTGATGTCTTTGGTTGTCTTTATTTGTTTTTATTTTGTTTGTCTTTGCTCTTTTTTGTTTGTCTTTGTCTGTCTTTGTTTGTTTTTATTGTCTCCGTTTGTCTTTGTTTGTCTTTATTTGTCTCTCTTTGTCTCTGTTTGTCTTTGTTTGTCTCTGTTTGTTTTTGTTTGTTTGTCTTTGTCTGACAGTTAATAAATAAACGCAAACACAAAAACAATAAATAGTAAATAATAAATAAAAACAAATAAACATATCTTTGTCTTTGTTTTTATTAATTTACATCATTATTTATATTTTGCTTTACAATTATTCTTATGATTGTTATTCTTACTCCTCATAGTTATTATTACAATTTAATATTATTATTATTGTCTTATTATTATTATTATTATTATTATTACTATTATTATTATTATTATTATTATTATTATTATTATTATTATTATTATTATTATTATTATTATTTGGTGTATACAGGGATATATATATATATATATGTATGTATATAATTAAAAATAAAAATATATTTTCTTTGTTTTGTTTGCAGGCGGCTGTATTATTCGCGCGGGGTTTTTAGAAGTGATGGAGGCAGCCTTTAAAGAGCATCCAAATACTAATAACCTGCTTCTTGTAGACAGGTATATATAATATATTTTATATATAATATATGATATATCATATATATTTTTATTGTTGCTCATCCTGCTGGAGTTGCTGCTGATGCTGCTGGAGTTGCTGCTGATGCTGCTGGAGTTGCTGCTGCTGCTGGAGTTGCTGCTGCTGCTGCTGGAGTTGCTGCTGCTGCTGCTTTTGGAGTTGCTGCTGCTGCTGCTTCTGGATTATTGTTTGTTTATTTATTGCTGTTATTTATTTTGTTTTTTATTTATTCTTGTTTTTGTTTGTTTTATTTATTTTTGTTTTTCTTTTGTGCGTTTGTTTTATTTCTTCTTTTTAATTTGTTGTGGCTTCATGCGGTTGCTTCTGTTTTATTTGTTTTGTCTATTTTATTTATTTATTTATTTATTTATTTTATTTATGTAATTTGTTTTCTTTATTTTACTCTCTTGTTTTATTTGTTTTGTTTGTTTTGCTTGTTTGTTTCATTGACCTTGTTTTATTAAATTTGTTTTATTTGTTTTTCTTCGTTTGTTTTATTTATATATCCTTCCTGGTTTATTTCTTTTGTTTATTTTAATTAGTTAATTTAATATAATTAAATTTGCTCAATTTATTTATTTTGTTTTATCTGTTTAATATATTTAATTTATTTAATTTATTTGATGTATTTATTTAATCTGTTTAATTTATTCAATCAATTTAATTAACTAACATAGTATAATATAACATAATATAATATAATATAATATAATATATATAATATAATATAACGTAATATAATACAATATATAATATAATATAATATAGTATAATATAATATAATATAATATAATAAATATAATTAATAAATTTTTTTGTATTTGTTTGCAGGATCCGAAAGCAAGTATTTGAGTGTTTACCGTCTTTAAGAAAAGTTGTTAGTTGGGGTATAGCGAATGGGGCTGCATGCGCGAATAGCGAAGATAATGTTTATATTTCTTTACCGTCTTTATCTGCTGCTTATAATTATATATCTGCTCTCACCTCTGAACGTCTTCCTACTTCTTTAACTCAAGCACAGAGAGACTTCTTCGGTGCACACGGGTTTTATAAAAAGAGCAATCCTCACGAACTCTTTCACGAGAGAGAGTGGATAGCAAAGCATAAATAAATAAATAAATATAAATAAATAAATATAAATAAATAAATAAATATATATATATATATTTGTTTGTTTATTATTTATTTGCTTGTTTATTTATGCTGGTATGTTGTTATATTTTCATCAAAAAGAAAAGGGCTTAGGGTATCAATGAAAGCAAAAAAATAAAACAAAAAATAAAAAATATAAAGACAAAGACAGACAAAAACAAAGACAAAGACATATTATATTTATATATATATTTATTTATTTATTTATTTATTTATTTATTTATTTATTTATTTATTACAGATGGATTCGTGTGGGGTATATTTTCTAATTATAATTAAACGGAGACGAGCTGTCTGTGAAGACAATTAAAACTATTTTATATTTTATGTTTTGTTTGTCTTTGAGGTAGAGTGCTCAGATTGCATTATACCGCCTCGTCTGCTGTCTTAAACTCAGACAAGAACAGCAGCATATTCGGGTGTATAGGCAGCTTGTTGAGGTGTATGTGCAGTTGCTAGGGTGTATATATGTATGTACAGCGTGATGGGGTGTATGTACAGCCTATTGAGGTGTATATGCAGCTTGCTGCGCTGTATATAACCACCGCGTTGGGGTGTATGTGCAGCGTGCTGGGGTGTATGCATGCACAACTCACTTCGGTGTCTCTGTACAGCTTGTTGAGGTGTATGTACACCCCTTGGGGTGTCTGTACACCCCGCTTGGGTGTATATACAGCGTGCTGGGGTGTATGTACACCCCATTAGGGTGTATGTACACCCCATTAGGGTGTACGTACACCCCATTAGGGTGTATGTACACCCCATTAGGGTGTATGTACACCCCATTAGGGTGTATGCACAGCCCGTTAGGGTGTATATACACCCCGTTAGGGTGTACATACAGCTTGTTGGGGTGTACATACACCTGGGTGAGGTGTAGGTACACTCCTTTGGGGTGTACATAGAAGTATTTGATCGAACTTGATGAATAAAACAGCAAATTATTTATTTATTTATTTATTTAGTTGCGTCTTCGTTTCTTTTATCTGTTCAACAGCTCTGCCTCGGGGTGTATGTACAGCTTTCCTAGAGAGGAGGCAAAACAAAACAATAATAATAAAAAGATAAAACAACAAAAACAACGAAGTCATTGAAATAACAGAGACAAGACAGTAGCAAGAAGCAAGCAGCAGCAGCAGCACAGCAGCAAAACAGCGAACACATAAAAACTAAAAAAAAAAGGATGCGTCCGTCGCAGAAATGCAGGTTGCTGTTTGCTGCTGCTGCGGCTCCTGCAGCGGCAGCAGTAGCTGCAGCAGCAATACGGGCAGCAGTCGCTGCTTGCTTAAACAACCTGAGATGTCTGCTGCATGCATTGCTGGGTATCTAGCTACTTCATTGCTGCAGCTGTTGTTATTGCTGTTGCTGCTGCTGCTGCTGCACTTGTTGCTGCTGCTGCTGCACTTGCTGCTGCATTTGTTTTTCTTCTTTTGTCTTCAATTTAAAATATATGAAGAAATATATGGCCGGTACAGCAGCAAACTGCCTCCCCAGCACGTACCCCACCCCTGCTGCTGCTGCTGCTGCTGCTGCTGTTCTACTTGCTGCTGCTGCTGCTGCTGCTGCTTCTTTATTTGTTTGATGATATAAGTTAGGGTTTGTATTTGTTTGTTTTTTTCTGCTGCTGCCCAGTCGTCCCAAGCAATATGAATAACACAGAAGCCGCTAGCATGCAGCAGCCGATGTTTTAAACAGCTCTTCACAGAATAAGTCTTTAAAGATGCTGCTGTTGCTGCTGCTGTTGTTGGTGCTGTTGCTGCTGTTGAGAGGCCCCAAATACCGCAGCCATGCTTACACCTCAAAGACGCGCTGTTACTACTACTGCTACCGCTGCTGCTACTGCTGCTGCTGTTGCTGCTGCTGCTGCTGCTGCTGCTGCAGCATTTGGGTTGATTAATGAAGTGCGGAGGGCCGTCTACCTCTATAAGACAGCCGATGTCCTGCAGCAGCAAATCTGCTCTGTAGGGCCCCACACCTCTTTCTGTGTGCACCTTCAGCCCCAGTGCATGCAGTGCAGCAGCAACTTCCTGGTGCTGCTCGCTGCTGCTGCTGCTGCTGCTGTTGCTGCTGCTGGACAAGATGCGGAGGGTCTGCTGTCCTTCCGTTTGAATCATTTCCCGCAGCTGCAGCAGCAGCTGCACGGGCCCTTGACGCCCCTCAAGCAGCAAACCGTCGCCGCCGCTTGCTGCTGCTGCTGCTGCTGCTCCTGCGTCGTTTGCTGCTGCTGCTGCTGTCCTTATGAGGTGCTGCCTCTCTAAAGAGACAGCTAATGCTGCTATTTGCAGCTGCTGCAGCAGAAACGCCGAGGGGGGCCCCAAAGAACGCCTGGGCCTTCTTACGCTGCCTACGTGCAGCAAGTTTGCTGCTGCTGCTCCTGCTGCTGCTGCTGCTGCTTCTGCTGCTGCTGCTGCTGCTCCTGCTGTTGCTGCTGCTCCTGCTCCTGCTGCTGCTCCTGCTCCTGCTGCGGGAGGAGCAGATGCAGATGCTGCTGCTCCTCCTGCTGCTACTGATCCTTCTGCTGCTGAGGTTAGGGATGGAGGCAAATCTGCTGGTGGTGCTGCTGCTGCTTCTTTTTCACTTGCTGCTGCTGCTGCTGCTGCTGCTGCTGCTGCAGGGTCTGATCGCCAGTGTATATACAATGAGGCCGCCCTGAAGACGTTCATTAGTACCATATCATGCAGCTCCCACAAGCTGCTGCTGCTGCTGCTGCAGCAGCAGCTGCTGCTGCTGCTGCAGTCATCCTCACTCCATCCCCGCTCCTGCTGCTGCTGCTGCTGCTGCTGCAGTTCCTCAAAGGCCTTAAGCTGCCAGGGGGCGAATGCAACACAAGACAGCGCGAGTTGTCCTAATGCGACGAGAGCAGCAGCATTTTGCTGCTCTTGCTGCAGCAGCAAGTCAAAGGTATCCCAGTTAGAGAGCAGCAGCAGCAGCTGCCTATACACCGGAGAATCTATTAGCAGCAAATGCGTGATGCAGTGCAGCAGCGATGCCAGCTGCAGCAGTGAACGTGTCTGCAGTATTTGCTGCTGCAGCAGCTGCAGCAAAGGCATGTACATACACCGCAGCTCTGTAAGACGCAGCCGAGCGCATGCAAGCAGCAGCGGCAGCACCAGATTTATATACCCCCTTTGCTGCTGCTGCTGCTGCTGCTGCTGGCGTGCAAGAGAGGTAAGCTGTGCTGCAGCAGAGGCAAGCAGCAACTCAAAAACAGAGACCTGTAGAGCGACTGCATCTATTTGCTGCTGCTGCTGTTGTTGCTGCTGCTGCTGCCATTGTGCTGCTTCTGTTGCTGCTGCTGTTGCTGTTGCTGCTGCTGCTGCTGCTGCTGTCCCCGTAAAGCTCCACGAGGAAAATGCTTTTGCTGCTGCAGCAATCTGTAGGAGAGACAAACAGCGCAGTCTCTTCTTGAGGTGTCTGTGCAGCTGCTGCAGCAGCAGCACCGCTACATCATCCCCGCTGTTGCTGCTGCTGCTGTTGCTGCTGCTGCTGTGTCTTGTTGCTGAGGGACAGATCCTGAGTCCTAGCTGCTGCAGCGCAGCAGCAGCACGCACGATATCAGCAGCAGACAGCAGCAGCAGCCGCTGCTGCGCCCTCCAGAGAAGCAGATCAGCAGGAAGACAACGAGGACCCCAACCAAACCCCCCAAAGCTAGCTGCATGCGTTCCTGCTGCTGCTGCTGCTGCTGCTGCTGTTGCTGCTGTTGCTCCACCTGCTGATGCTTCTACTGCTACTGCTGGTGCTGCATCTGTTGCTGCTACCTGTCCTGCTGCTGTTGGGTTGCAAGGCTTTCGTGTTGGATGGTTTGCTGCTGCTGCTGCTGCTTCTGCTGTTCGATTAGCTGCTGCTGCTGCTGCTGCTGCTGCTAGACCCTCTAGACAGCTGAGCCAGGCTTTGTGCCCTGCGCTTACAAAATTTTCAGGAGAAAAAACTTCGGGTGTCTTCGCAGGTGTACGTACAGCTGAAGTTTGTGTTGTTTTGATTGCATGCACAGCTGCTTCCCTTTGTGGAGGCTTTAATAAACAGGAGCTGCTGCTGCTGCTGCTGCTGCAGAACCAGCGCCTGCTGCTGCTGCATCTACTGCATCTGCTGTACCTGCTGCTGCATCTGCTGCTGTTGCTGCTGCTGCTGTTGCTGCTGCGTGCTAGTGTAGGAGAAAAGAAGGCGAGGCGCATCGCAGCCTTTGAAGAGGCCAACAAATGTAAAGAGTGAAGCCCCCCTAACCCCCCACAGCAGCAGCAGCAGCAGCAGCAGCAGCAGCAGCAGCAGCAGCAGCAGCAGCAGCAATGAAGGAGACGGAGAGAAGTACTGGGGCCCAGGGATAATTAAGTATTGCGTTTTTCTTTGTTTTTATTTGAAGTTTAATTTTACTAATGTAATTTAATTAATAAAAATATATTAAAATAGAAGAAATATAAATAAAAAGAAACAAATAAACAAACAATAATCTGCTTAAACCCTCGCCTCCTTACGAGCAAGACAGACGGTGGTGCAGCACAAGGAGATAATTAATGATGTATATTTTAATAAAAGAGAGAAAAAGAAAACAAAATAAATAAATATATTTATATTACTTTTAATATTATTTTATATTTAGGGTTTAATCCCTCAGTAATATATACACCGCATGCAGCAGCAGCTGCATGCAAAAGGAGCTCTTGGGGCTTTATACTTGATTTGTTTGTTTGTGAATATTATAATTTTATTCTTATAATTATATTTTTCTGTTTATTTATTATTTATTTATTATTTATTTATTATTTATTTATTATTTATTCATTGATTCGTTTGTTTATTTATGCTAAGAATAATAATAAGCAGCGGCATTAAAACACAATCAGCTGTCTGCAACGTAGAAAGAGTTTTCTTTATTATTTCTTGTCTGTTTACTGCCTCTGTTGTAATTAGTTATATTAAACAGCTGTTTCATTTGTCTCTCTTCTTTATGTATTTAGGTGTATCTGCATGCATTCGTTTATGCATGCATGTATGCTCGCATGCATTCACTTCAAAACAAACAAAAAAATAGACAAAAGAAAAAGAAATAAAAAGTAAAAAATAAAAGCAGAGCAGAAGACAATAAATAAAAACAGAGAAGGCAGCAAACCCAGATATAAAAAAATCAAAGAAAATAATAATAAAAACAAATAAAGAAATAGCAGATAAACAAATTACAAGAAACAAAGATAAAAATAAAAAATAAAACATAAACAAAACAACACATGCAGTACAAGACAGCAACAAGCATAAAGAAATAATATATTTATAATCAAAAAATACACGAATATAACAATAAACAATAAACAAACAACAAAAAAATAAACAAGAAGAAATGCATAATGCTAGAAGAAGAACAAAGAAGATTAAAAACAAATAATAAATAATAAAGAAGAAGTTGAGTCTATGAAAGCAAACGGTTAGGGCTTATAGTACTGCTGCTGTTGCTGCTGCAGCTGCTGCTGCTGCTGCTGTCTGTTGCTGCTGCTGTTTCTTTTGTTTGCATATAACAGCAGCAGAAGAGACAGTAAAGTAGTATAGACAGACGCAAAAGAGTAGGTGGGTGATAAGCAGCAACAAGCTGTCTCCTTGTGATATTCTTTGTGCTGTTTTTATTTATAAAAGCATATGCTCGTTTTACTTTATTTAAATAATTAGAACAAACAAAAACAAGAAGATAACAGTTAAAACAATCAGCAATACACCGTCAAGGAGAGACACTTCTTCTCCTGACTTTTCGCCTCTACGCCCAAATAAAACTTTGCTTCTTCTCCCTTCAGTTCCTACACAAAAACAAACAAAAACAATATATAAATATATCTATATATATATGTATATGTATATGTAGAGAGAGAGATACAGATATACATGTAAGTGCGTGTATATATATATATATATATATATATATATGTACAGAGAGAGAGAGATACAAATATACATATA